CTAAAGTTAGAAAATATTTTCCTTTTCCACTCATTTTCTAGGCTATCAAACGGACCCTTAGTAATATTGTTTTGATGTCTTGATTTATTTTACCTGTATAAATAAGAATAATGCTACTGCCTACTTGTATATAAGAAGTTATATAATGACTTACATACAGATGATGTGTCAAAATGAGTGTGATAAAGTTTTTTTTATTTGGTTAAAGAAATTCCAACTGAATCATATTTTATCACATCATGTGTATATAAATCATTATGTACATATAACGCAATCGAATAAGTAAAGGCTTTGTACACTTTTCATTCACCAATTCACTATATTAAATTATTCTCTATAAATTTTTCAATTTTTTTCAACTTCCTTCTTCTTTCAAGAATATTAATTCCGCATCTACTCCCAAGTTGTTTGTTCAGATAATAATTGTAAGAAACACGAAAAAATAAACAAATAAAAATAAGTATTATATATTTGAATTGATAAAATTTATTTCTCGTACTATATACAATATGGTAAGACTTTGTTCAAGGTTATTGCTTCAACTCAAAAATAACTTGCAAAAAATGTATTCAAATGTGTAAAGAAAACCAACCAGCTATTCTATTAGAGATTGTCATCACATGAAGTAACCATTTAAATGATAAAAAGTCTCCAATTAAAGTCTACGGAAGACTTTTATTAATTCTTACCAAATTCATAGAAATTATTTAAAAATTTATAAAGTTCACGCAAGTCACCTAATTAAAAAAATCTTTGAACGTTTCAATTGAATACCTTCCCCTTAATTTAATTTTGTCATTTTATAACACGCCATCTGTCGTATAAATTGATAATGATTTCTAATTAAAAAAAAAATCCCAATTTGGTATAGATTAAAAATTTTAAGTCAAAGTCAACAATTAATTTTAACAATATTTTTTATAGGATCACGACTTTTCAACCACTTATGTCATTAACTTTTATCAAAATTTAATAAAAACCTGATTTCAGTCCGAATATAGGCAGTAAAAGTCAACAATTAATTTTAATCATGTATTTTATGAGATTCGTAACTTTTTAATAATTTTATTAACTTTTATCAAAATTTACTAAAAATCTAATTTTAATCTACAGATCAAACATGGGCTAAATAACGTAATTCTCACTTTAACCCATCTACACGTGTGTTTGAATTTGCTTTTTATTAGTGTTTAAACTATTGCTTTTAATCTTGATTTATCCGAAGGGGAAAAAAAGTGTTTGAAATGAATTCATACTTAGGTTTATCCAAACAAGCAAAGTTTCAAAGTTGCAACAAGATAATTACGTAACATTAATCAGTCAATGTGCAATTTGATGAGCACGTGAACATGATAGACAAACAAACCGTCACCGCATTCGTCACCCCCCTCCCACCTACTTCTCTTCGAGTTAAGCTACATGTACAAAGTTGGTTGACAAAATAATATTTACATCAATCATTTTAAAAATAGACTTCTAAGTCATTTGAAATCAACAGTCTGAATTTTGTCAACACACTTTGTAACCCAACTTTTGTAACTGAACTTTGTACAAAAAAACTTTATTGACTTCTCCTTATTGGTTTTGATTCGCACATGAAAAATGCTCGTTGTAACATTTACAATTTTTTTATAGATAATGAGTCGACGATTAATTGAAGTAAGACAGTCAAAATTTCTTCCAAACTTAAATGTTCGTGCTTATTTAACGTTGGATAACGGAGAGAAATCTTTCATTTGGTTGACCAACTTACAAATTTGCATACTAACAGATGCCGTGAAAATCTCACCAACTAAACGAAATTTTTTCTCCAATTTCTTTTTGTTATTAACTCACATTACATAAGCTCGATAGTTTTAAGTAGTGAATTTTTTTTTTTTTTTTGATAATTTTATTTCGATTTGTCATCATCTCATCAATTTGTAAAAAATTATGT